TGCATTGTTTTATGCCAGTCAGAATTTATGTACCTCCAACCAAAAAGAAAGCCATGCAGTAGGGTTAAAAAATAATTTGATTTTATGGTGCAGTCAAAATGTCAATCAACAGTCTGCATATTATATATGCAAATAAATGTGTGGCAGGCAAACTCCACTGTATCGCGACTGTCGGCGGTTTTATGTAAAATGCGACGCGTTTCAGGCGACAAATCACTCGATGCATAAATAATAGCCACCTGCAGTTTGGGTTTGGCGACAGGCGTGCTGGTTCCCAGCCGAAATTATCTGCCAAACAATCGCTCGTTGGCTTAGTGACCTGATTTTCCACGCCCGAAACTGGGCCACGCCCACTGAACCACCGCCCACTGTCCACAGCCTTTTAATTAAATTAGATTATTTTTATTTATATTCAGCAGATATTTTTTTTGGTTACTGCCGCAAAGCAGCCACAAAAGTGCGTAGACTGAAATTTCGATGGGGTATTTATAGGCTGGAGGCTCCGTTTGGATTCAGGGCATACCGGGGCCAAACAATAATACAGGAATTATTTGTGGAAACAATTGGGGGCAAGCCACTTGTGTGAGCATAACTTGCCATTCCAGCAATTGGTATTTATTTTTGCAAAGGTCAGGTACTTGGGTCAATATACAGACTACTGAGCATCCTACAGTTGAGTTATCCTGATTTTTGCAATTGCCTTGTGTTTGCTTTTTTTTCTCCTCTTTTTTTTTTTTTTTTGGCCCCCTAATTGAGTTGGTTTATTAGTTTGGCCTGGACCAGGAAGCCCTCCATATGCAGTTGGCCTTGGCAACAGGGCAGGAATGGATGGATGGAAGGTTGGAGGCGTCTTCCTTTCGGTTGATGGACACTGATAGACCCAAGAAAGGCGCAGGACAACGGCTCCTTCGTCTCCTTCGACTGATGCTGCTGCTGCTCCAGTCTCTGGCCAATTGTGCTGAGTTATGGCCTTCGACTGCCAGATGGGCAGATGGAGCAGTTGGGGCAGATGGAGAAGATGGGGCAGCCCCTGCATCCTAATTCGCATATTTCATGTGTACTACAGCTTCGTGTTGTATAATTTATGAATCCATTTCCATTTCGCTGTAGAGTTGCGCTCGATGATGGCCTGCTTGTGTATTCAATGAGTACCTGAGGCGTCTTTAACCCAGACTCGGAAGTATTTAATGGACCCCCTAAAAACATTTGACTTTTGCGAAAAACAAAAGCGCAGATATAATTCAATTAATTAGAAATTGGCCTTCTTTTAGTAAAGATAATAAATGTAATTTTTGTCGAATTTAAAAAACAGATATTAAAGTAAATTTATATTTGTAACTTAAAGAAATTTAAACAAGAGATATTTAATTAAACTATTACTTGGGATTTAAGAAGAATTAAAATAAGAGGAAAGTAATTTTCTCTGTGTAATAAAGATGATTATTTATAATCAACATTTTAATTTTAAATTTGTAAGATCCAGTTGAAATTAAATACTCATCTTTATTTCTGATTAATTTAATATTGGTTTCCATTTATCAATACTACAATACTATAGTTATTTATTTTTTTGTATTTTAAAAGGAATAAGGGTTTCCTGTTTAATAATTTATTTTTTGTATTTTAAAAGGAATAAAGGTTTCCGGTTAAATAAATTTTTAATATAAATTCTGTGAAATAAGTACAAATTTAATAAACACAAAGCAGAATTTTATTAGACGGAAACTTGAGAAAAGTGTACTCGCCCAGCAGCCCTTCCTGGTGTTTCCTTCAATTATCAAATGAATAGGTGAATTCCGGGAAAAGCTGGGAAAAGCCAACCGAGGGTTAAAGAGCAGCCACTTCGTTGGAATTCTGGGCGCGTGGGTCGATCTGCTTGTTGCTCTCGGCCTAAGCATGTGTGTGTGTGTGTGTTGGGTATATCCTGGGGTGTATCTGGGTGTAACCCACCGATATATATGCCTCAGGGACTGGTGACTGTTTTTATTCCGAGCCGAAGCCCGGGTGCTTTTTTGATGCCCAACCTGCTGGCAAAATCAAAGCCGAATTCGGTTTCTGTGTTAATTACGCATACGCACTGCGGTCCATGGATGGAGCCCAAGGCGTCGCTGTCGTCTCATTAAAGCCGAAACTCCAGTGCAGCAGGGCGGGCCGAAAAGCAATTAAGCTGCCACCGACGACCGTTGCCAATTTTGGCCACATTCGTCTGTCCACATTCGAGGGGCACTGTACAGTGTTCACTCCACACTCCACACTCTTCACACCCCACGTTGCACGTTGCACATTGCACATTGGCCACTATACATTGCACATTGCACATGGGCATGGGCATGGTCAACTGGTTCGGGCCATGTTTCAGGCAATTAAGCACTTCTGGCCCACAAATCCGTAAACAAGCGCTGCCTGGCGACCTGACCTCCAGTCGAACCCCTTCTTTTTCACCGAACCCACAATTGGGCATTTGAAGGGGCAATTTAAATAGTAGTTAAATTTATGATGCTGTGAAATTAAATAGTAACTGAAGTGGCACTAAAAACATAATTTAAGGTACTAATATTGCTGAAAATTTGGTGCTTTGCTGATTTTTGTTGACGCATATTTAATTTTATTGCTGTTAGCAGTTGCAATCATTATTCATGAGGACTTGCAGTTTTACTGAAATAACAATTAAAAAGGGGGAATAAACTGAAATAAATGCTTTGCGAAATAAATGGCTTTTTAACTTTTATTTTAAATACATTCTGCATATTAAATATTGAAAAATATTTGAAATATATGAAATGATTGCACGTAATTATTTATTTCAAATATAATTGTTACAAAATAAAAAGCAATTCCAATTTTTATTATATATTTAAACCAGCCTTAATTATTTGACATTTTTTAAACTAAAAACATTACTGTATTTTCAATTAGATCAATCCGGACTTAAAGATATTAAAGAGTGGCAATTGCAATTGAAACCACTTTTTGTTCAATCAACTCGAAACTAAAGTGTTGCTATCCAAACTTGATATGTAATACTTTGATCCTCTTATGCTTTTTAGGGGCATTTCCGATTCACTTAATATGCCCGGCTAAAAAAAAAGGCCTAAAAAAGAAAAGCCAACTGGCCAACTGCAAACTTGGCAACTTGGACTTGGCAAGAGGGCCACTGTTTGGCTCGGCAATAAAGTGTTTGTTGTTGTTGCACTTGCTGTTATTGTTGCACTTGCTATTGTTGCTGCACATGTTGTTGTTATTACTGTTATTGTTGTTATTGTGGCTGATGGTGGTGCTGGTGCAGTGCGTCGCTTCCAGGCCACTTCACTTTATTTACCGTCACGCTCAGCTCGCTGCGGCGGCGGCATTAAGTGCGAAAACAAAGCCAAAGGCATCGAACCGCTCCCGGCAGCTCCTTATTTTTATGGCCGGTTTATTGAAAGGCCGCCAGGCCGCCGGGCAACGTGCAACGTGAAACGTGCAACTAACATCTACCAGCCAGCTATGTGCAACGTACACGCTAAGAAAAGGCTACAACATTAGAAAAAAAAACTTAAAAATGTAAGAAACTTACCTAAGACTACACATTTGAAAATAAAATCTGTCAGAAAATCTTGGTCGAAAAATTACAACTATTGGATTTGGATTTGGAACTGAATAAAACCAATAATTTAACAATATTAACTTTATATTTAGTTGATATTTAAGTTTAAGCAATTTTAAAATTATTTTCATTTTAAAAATAGAAACACAAACAAGGGAATAGTTTCAATTTAAAATATATGTATATATAAAAACGGACCATGTGTTTTAATCTCAATTATTTTGTAACTTTCTGCATAAAGTAAATAATTAATTATTAATACAATATGTTACAATAAATATAATAATTTAAGTATATAAGTTTTTCATATTTTTGGTTTTGTTTATATATTTTCATATTTATAAATATTTGTATCCAAACCTTTTTCTTCGAGTACACCTGCTGATAAAGAGCATTGCGTAAGTCACTGACGACGGTAATGATGATGATGATGGTCAATGGCCATTGGCCATTGGCCAAGTAGGGACTGCCACTTCCCACTTGACCAACACCGGATCCGAGGAAGTGCACGGCTTCAAAGACGCGGAAATGGAGCGGGGGCGGTGGTGTTCCGTGTGAAGTAATCCGTGGTGCACTAAAAGCAATGAAAGCGCGCAGATTTATTGGCGCAACTTAAGCGGAAGGTGAGAACCAGACGAAAAGATATAGAAAAACGAACGCGGATAACATTTTAGAGGATTCGGAAAATATTGTTGCTGCTAAGATTGCGAAAGGAGAAGATTCCAGAAGTTGAATATTGAATAACAAAGTCGTTCAACGAGAAATGCTTAGAAATGAAAACAACATATGAACATATGAAAGATTATTGAATAAATGCCCTTTGCAAAATATATATTTGTTATTTGTGGTTTTCTTAACATGATTGTAATATAGTATATATGATTAAGGTATCTGAAGAAACGCCATTTGGCAAATAATAATAATAAAAAAAATTCTAAAATTAATGTACAAGCAGATTGTCAAAAAATTCAATTTAAAATGTTAAGAGATACACATTTTTTTAATCGAATCGAAAATATAAAAATAATATGGCGATCATAAACAAGTACTTAAAACTTTAGTTTTTTCATTACGGATAGAAAATTGAAACAGCAAAGTATATCAAGGAATTAACTATTACGAATAATGGTTTACTAGGCTTACTTTACTTCTGTTTTTGGGGACTGATTCCCCATTTGCATTTTAAATTTCCGACTGGGCGCCAAATTCTGGAGTGCAGCATTGCCAGCTCAAAAGAAAGAGCTCCATTGTTTACAAACAACGTGGAGCTTTCGCCGGCAGGTGCATTTCTCTTTTTTCTCTCTCTCTCTTTATAACCAAAATTCTGCGTGCCTTATCGGCTTTTTATCGGCGAGAGCGGCGAAAAGACAGCGCCTGCGCTCGAAATGTCAGAATTGCAGGCCAAAATGTAAACGAAAATCGAAGGGAAAGCAAAATTGTTGATATGCTAAACATCGCATCATCTGGCAGAAAAACAAGCGGAAAAGCAGTCGGAAAAGCGGTCGCAGCACCACGAAAATAGAAAAAAACAACAACAACGAGTGAAAGCGAAGAAAGAAAAGCTTGCCACACACATTCTTTGTCGGCGCCGCTCATTGATCGGTTTGTTGGAAATTTTGGAAAACTTTTGAAAAAGCCGAAAATCGTCGGACATTGTGTTATGAAATCGTCGCCGCGTGCGTGAGTGCGAGTGCGAAAATATCTGGAAAATCGAAAGAAAAACATTAAATCAAGCAAGACTAAATCAAAAACCGAGGAGCATTGCCGTCTGAAAGTTAAAACCCTCTAGTTAAAGTAGACTCCACGCAGCCAGAAGGTAACTCACCAATAAATCCTCGTATTTGGGCCTTTACTTCTATGTTTTTTGTGGCCCAAAGATGAGTCATGTTGTTGCCGCTGTCCATTGGACAGGCTCATATATTTAGAGCCACCGCCCCCGGCGTTACTTTTCGCCCTTTGCCCTTTGATAGATCGATATGTGTGTCGGTGGAGGGGGGAGCGGGGAGCGGGGAACGGGGGGTGTTGGTGTCAGTCAGTCATGTGATTTTGTTTGCCGGCACCTTGCAGCCCCAACAACAAAGCCGCACAAACTTGTTTTTTCCCAATTACGCAGCAAAAACAGCAGCGGCACAAAAACACGATAAATTAGCTTAATCAGCAGTCCCCCCGTTGAAAATGCACGCACCTACAAAAAGGTTGTCTACTTTTAGGCCATTGCTGTAAATTGCTAACTTTAAAATACAGTCGGAGAGAAAAACATAAACCACGGGAATTATATTTAATATATATTTAATTTATTAAAAGTGCACACTTCATTTACGTAACGACTTCGAAACCATTCATTAAAATTGCAATTTAAATGCTTTTAAATTACTCGAGTGCACAAATCAAATTTTCACTTACTGTTTTTAGTTGGTTTTTTTATATGCAGCCTTCAATGTACATAAAATCTTGCTTTAAAAACATCCTCTTTGCACAATAATATTTGCTTTTTAAGGATCTCTCTGAATACTTTATATACACCCAGTTGCCAATTTTGACGTCGATCGATTGGTTACTAAAAATCTTAGTAAACTATATAGTAATATTTTCTGGGCACCCAGGTACGTATTGTATATTTAAACCCAAAATCGCTTGCTTTTTTTTCCCACACTTACAAACATACACACAAAAATGCATTTTTAGTTTGTTCCCACACACACACACACTGGCACACACACACACACACCAATTGTTGGTTAAGTTGGCAATGAGAAACTTACGCCGTTTAACAAACACTTTGCAGTACCGCCAATTAACAAGCAGATTCGAAACAACAGCCACGTTAAGACAACCAACTCACAAAGACCAAATCGCAATTGTTCGCTTGAGGCGAGTGTCCCAGAAACCGGGCGAAATCATCATCAGCCAGGGCATTTCGAATAGCAGCCACCCAAGGATCTGCCCCGCCCACACTGGTGTCCCAAATTGCCAGCGGAACGGCAGCAGAAGCAGCAACAGAAGCAGCAGCGGTAGCACTTGCAACAACCTTAAGTTAAGTTGCTCCTATGCCAGTTTAGGCAGAATGCAGGCCACGCCCAGCGAAGATGCTCAGCCGCAGGATCCGCTCAAGTCCTTCGAGAGGGACTTCTGCGACCTGCCTCCCTACCAAGTAAGTACACTGAGGGAAAGCCACCTGGAAACCTTTTCTTTTCAAATAATGCGTGTAGGTTGACAATCAGGTATGAAATATTTTTCTATGTTAATGTAACAAGTTTTAGAAAAGATCTTTCAAGGTTTAAAGATAAAAGCATATTTTTTAGGAGAATCAAATGGTACAGTTAAATCATATCCTGTCATTTAAAATAATTTATAGTAAAATATTAAAAATGTATATTATTCAACACTGATATTCTACAATCCGGTAGATCTTAGATAGCTAATGGCACACAATAGATTGCCTTTTTATAGTTTGACATAGGAGTGTAAATTATGAAAGGATTGATTAAACTAAACATTAAACAATACAAATTTTTACTAAGAAGTAAGTAAACTTGTATTTAAAGTGTAAAAGTAATAGGAGTTGGGGTCGCTGAGACAGCAGCATATCAATCAGTTGCAGCAAAACTCATTAAACTTGTGCCAATTGTGTCAGTCAAAGGAGGTTGGCCAGAGTTGCCACCATCCCCATAATGCACTCTTCCTCCTTAGCTTCTCCATATATATATATATATATATATATTTATATATAAATATATATATTATTGTTTTTTTCCTAAGCACTTTGATTGCTTTGCCTGCGTTCTCAATTTCATCCTCGTTCCTATCCTCATTCTCATTTTCAATTTTCCTACTTTAAAATTCGCAGCGTGTGTGTTTGTTTGCGTGGGTGGCTTTTTGAGGCGACTCATTAATTTTCCGATTTCCATTTTTTTTCCAGTGCGACATGAGTGATTCCGCACCGAATACCCCAGGACCCTGCTCAACATCGGCCCTGCCCAAGAAGTATTACCGCCATGCGGCACACAGGTAAGTCCAAGATCTAAAATAAGGTTGGGTTTTAAAGGGAAAAAATATAATATAGTGCGGCCGAAGGGGTTATAAATGTTTCGATAGCCTGTAATCAAGCTAAACCTGATTACAGCATAGTCAAAACAAACAACTGCTTACCAATTTTTTTATTTTTTTTCTAAATTGTCTTACAATTTTTAAAAACTTTCTTTCAAGGCAAACAAATATTTACCTACAAAAGTACAAAAGATCGTTTCATTCATTGTATCATTTCAAAAAGTCAAAAGCAACTTAATACTAGTTATAGCGTCAATAAAAATTTAATGGTTATAAAGATCAGGTTTGTTGCCATATTTAAACCCCTTTTTTCTTAGTGTAAGCCACATTTGTACAAAGAGAGATTTCCACAGAAAAAGAGACCATGCTCCACGGTCATTGCCAAGTGCGAGCGGTTTTCTACAGGCTTATCGTCTTATCTCGCAGCCAAAACAACAACAATAACAAGACTAAAAACAACTACTAGCTAGTTAATCCACACGAAACGGGAACGTTCGCTTGACAACCTGACGTTGATAGTAACCGCCCATTGGTATAAATGGAATTTAGGGTGTATAGGGATTGACATCATATACTGCCATAAAACACTAAAAGCGGGTAGACCAATGATCTACTAATAAAGTCCTGACAACGTTACGTATGAGTAATAAAGTTCCGGAAAGGTTTCAATTACAAATTAATCCGAAAAAATTGCTTTGAATATCAAATATCGCATAAGCTTAAATGGTAAAAATGTCTTAATTGAATTTTAATTAAAAATCATTTAGTAACTTAAACTGACTGAGAAACGTTAAAATACACTGTTGGTATTTTCTTATTTCCTAAAAATATCAACTTCTGAACACAAAAAGAATACTTAAAATATTTATGCTGATAAGAAATTGATTTTAGTTAATCAGTTTTACCAACAAGCACACCCATATTTGTATTTAAAGAAATTCTAGGGCATGTGGGTATTCGAGACTAAGTTTTTTTCCCGGCCAGTCGCCTCTTTTGCCATTTTTGTTTTTGCTGATTACAATATTTTGTGACGCTGCCCATTATCGCCCGGTTTTAGTGGTCTGTGGGGCGGAGGGGGGTGGTTGGGCGCCCAAAAGGGGTGGGGTAAGAGGTGAGGGGGCCGGAGGTAGAGGCTGTGTCTGAATTGCTTGTTAGGCGTAGATGCAAGTGAGTGGGCACTTAAAACCGCTCGAGTGTCAACTGTAAGTGCACTATGCGTTTATCGCCACCTGTATGTGTATGTATATGTGTGCGAATATGTGGGGGGTGTGTGTGTTGACATTGACACGATGCAAAGTGCAAACTATAGCTTTTATTTATAATTTTCAAGAATATTTAACTCTGTATTCCGAGACGATGTCGTCGTTCTCAAAGAAGGTGCTAAGTGAGTGGGGAAAAATGTCTACAAAAGTTGTTTTATTATATAAGTCCCAGTTGGGCTGATCGATCCCGATCCCCAGATCCCCAGCCAGATGAAATATTTGTGTGTGCTTTGGAATATGAACATGGCAATGAATATGCAAATGGCTGATGAAATATTCATGAACGCGGCACCGCACCCATCAACATTATAATTGGGCCCATAATTAATGCGGGCATATTTGTACACAGATACGTATCTGGTAGGCCTGTCCACATCCATATCTTTATGTATATCGGTATCTCGCTATCTGGGTGTCGCCCTGTTTATGCTGCTGCCATTCAGAGGTGTCACGGGGATTTGCATATAAAAAAATCGAATGGATTTATGGCCTGTCAATGCCGCTCGGCGAATCGAGAGCGTTCGATCGACTATCTCTATTTAGAATCGCCTGCGTGGAATCTCTTTGAAAAGTCGAAACGCACAAAAAATTCCACTTAGCCAGGTCGCGAACCCCCCACGCATTAGCGATTACACTGAGAACAAAAATTATATAATCACTTGTAATTGCAAAGTGGTAAGTATTCAAACCATTAGTTACTTTGGCAAATCCTTCATCGGGAATATCAAAAGTGAAATCGATTTGCTCCAAATCTTTAATTAATTAAATTGTTTGCCTTTTTTGCTGTGTCTGCAACTATTTGGAAGTTGTTGCCTGCGGGGGGCGTGGGCCGCATTGCCATAAATAGTAAGCGTGTGGCACACAACTATTTTGGTACAATTCGGGGCACAACAGTGGTGTTTTTGAACATAAATTAAATAAATAACTCACATCCTATCCAGATGGATAGTTTTTAGGCAGATTAGTAAAAGAATTATTGTTAGATGGTTCATGGTTCTATTGTCCTCACATTCTCGCGACCCCAAACTATAATTTCCAGATACTATTAAATTCTTAAGGAATGACTAAAAATATTAGTAGTAGGTTGGGTAATCACTTTATCTTGCCACATTTTCTCCCTGTGTAAATCACTTGTTTTCACCGAAATGATAAGAAAGTATATCGCCCAATGAAATGCTAAATTTTCCACCTCCGCTGTGTGCGTGAGTGGTTCACTTTTGTGTGCATAATTTCATTTCTTCGACGCTTTCCAAGCATTTCCAAGACTGACATACTAAAATTTCCATGCGGCTCAAGTGGGTGTAGTCATTGTAGTTGCTTTGGCTTATGTGTTGCTGTTTGCCCGTTGGAGCTATTTTCGAGTGAGCAAGCAGGGCGTGAAGATAAACCGGAGAGTGGGAGTGACGAACCACTGACACCCAGTGCACAGCGAGAAAAAATTATTGGGATACGATCACTTCGATGGTTTGAAAACAGCACCAAATATTCAAATGCTCCTAATGCATATCAAGAATTTCAACTTAATTGGTCACCGAGGGACTTTAATCGAATTGTCATAAGATTTCTTGGAATTGGAATTTAAAATCTTAAGTTTTAAAAATAATAAATTCACTGATCGTGTTTTACGGTTTTAAAGAAATTGTTTCCACATTGAAATGACAATGAAATCTACGAGCCCCTTTATTTTTTCAGTGCAGCTCGTGGCCTGATCGATCATTCCCCCACCGAGTGATGGGTAGCAAAACAAAGTAGAAAACATTTTGTTTTTATTGCATAAAAGGCATCAAAACAACAACTGAACGGTCTACGTTGACACCGTCAGCTAGACAGAGAGCGAGAGAGAGTGGGGGGCAGAGAAAGAGAACGCTAGACAGAGTGAGAGAGTGGGGACTAGCCAGAGACCCAGAGAGAGCAGAGCTTTCGACGCCGACGCGCTGCCGGTAGTGTGAAAATGGAGAGAGTTGGGGCTCTCTGGCTGGCGCTCTTTCGCTGGCTGCTCTGCCGCCGCTTCCTTCCTCCATTTCCACATTGCACTTTCAGTCGAAATTTAAACGTCGACCGAAATCGCTCGAGATTTTCGTTTCGCCAAACCAAGTCAAATCCAGATCGAGGAAAATCCAAATTCGAATTGAAATCGAGATCCCCCAAATCGCAAACGTTTTTTGTTTTTTTGTTTGTTGTTTGACATAAACGATCGAGAAGAGAGGTGCGGTGAACTGCTGCCACGCACGATCACTCAGATCCATTCCAAAAACTCCAGATCTCTGTGACGTCGCACGCCAAAAAAAAAAAATAAAATAACAAAAAGAAACAGCTGATAAGATACTTATCGCGCTAAAAGTCCCCCTTCCAACCACCCACCAATTTCCACTCCCATTGAGCGAAAGAGCTTTATCAGCAGCAGCGACGCGGCGTAGTATTTGTGGCCTTGTAATCCGCGGCAGCGCCAAGATGCCACTGCCAAAGCAGCAACAACAACCACAAGCACAAAAACAACAACAGCAGCAGCAGCAGCAACAGAAGCCTTTGCAGAAACATTCCAACTCCAGCTTTAGCTCCATTTCCACTTCCAAGTCCAGTCCAAGTTCCAGTTCCAGTCCCGCCGCCGACGCTTCTACGATCGCCAAGCGGGAACGGGAACGCACACAGACGATCGGCGAAACGGACATGGATCAGTCGGTGCTCAACGGACTGGCGGTGGGCGGGGACGGACCCGCCGGCTACCACGGACACAAGCGCGAACTGGGTCACAGGTGAGCGGTGCGCCCCACAGCGGTGCCACGGGAAACATTATACTACACGATTCCAATTGCAAGAGACTCTCTACAAAGAAAAACCCTCTCAGCAGTTCTAGGAAATATAAGACATTCTTCGACGTATACAAGCTAGTTAGATCGTTTTATCTAGTGTCCATCTTTGGATGAACATAAAAATATTCTGTTAAAAGTAGTGAGATGTACCTTGATTATTATTATACACTTAAGTTTCTAACCAGTATTTAATAAGGGTTATTTTGTAGAGAGGTTCTCGGGCTGTTTTTCAACAAAACACTATTAAATCGTATAATTTTTTATCTTTAATATTCTGAGCTCAGTATATTTGACGTCTAAATAATATTCGCTTTTAACCAATAGGGTGTACTCCAAAACATGTAAATTTTAAGAAAATTGCTTATTGAGTAAAAAGCAAATGTCATTACCCATTCAAAGTTGTTTACGTAAATCCCGGAATAATACTTTGAAAATACAAAGCCGATTAAATACATTGATCGCCTGCAGCCCAACAACACTATCTAGATCATTAAAATTTTATGTGTGTCAGCAATTTAAGAACTTTAGTGTTTTTAAATTGCAGACAAATTCTTTGGTTCTACAATGTATTAATTTGAAATGCCTTAAATCACTTGATGAATCATTACTTTCTGAATTAACAAGAAAGGAAGCTAGCTTCGGCAAGCCGAAGCTTATATACCCTTGCAGTCATCAAATATGTCGAACAAAACGCATAAAGGCTAGACAACATCGAAGCTAAGACGATTTTTCTATTCATTTTCCATATTTTTGACTATAGATCATATGGGAGCTATACGACATAGTTGTCCGATTTTGATCAAATTTAACTCGTAATTCAAGAGTCGTAAGAACACTCTATATTCCAAAAATCATACTTGTCTGATGAAAAACAACGATGTTATCAATT